TGCATTTTCCACGAAGAGTACCACCTCCTTCTGCCCGCTGGCCCCGCCTGCTGGCTGTGCCCACTCTCTGTGCCCTGGCCCGGGGAGCTGGGACGAGAAAGCAAGACCGCACCTTCTTTTTCTCCAGGAAACACATCCTGGGTCCTGAGCGCGGAGGGTCTCGGGACACCCCGGTGTGGTGAGCCTGGAGGGCGAGGGCAGCCTTCAGGCCCTGTCACCCTGTGACGGCCACAGCGTCACGAGCCCAGGACCCCAGCTTTCCAGGTAATGGAAGCAAACCCTTTAGGCACCAAAAACTTAACCTTGAAATCATTTTAGAAGCACGTTTTCCTAAAAGTTAACCGCCTTAGTCCTTCAAACGAGAACACCTATCAAAAGACCGTAGTTTCTTTATTTTTAATTTTCCCCAATATATTTTATTAATTTCAGAGAGAAAGGGAGAGGGAAAGATGGATAGAAACATCAGTGATAAGAAAACCATTGACCGGGGGGTAGAGCCCACAACCCGGCCATGTGCCCTTGACTGGAATCGAACCTTGGACCTTTCAGTCCACAGGCCGATGCTCTGTCCACTGAGCCAAACCTGCTAGGGCCGTGGTCGGCAAACTGCAGAGCAACCAGTCACTATGATGTGCATTGACCACCAGGGGGCAGATATTCTCAGTGCATTCCCATAAGGGGGGGTGGGCGGGTGCCACTCAACCACAAGCCGGGCTCATGGCTGGCAAGAGCCTCTCCCCCTCTCTGCAGCATCGATAAGAATGTCCATCAGTTGGACATCCTCGAGGACTCCTGGAGTGCGAGAGGGCACAGGCCGGGCTGAGGGACCCCCCTGAGTGCATGAATTTCATGCACTGGGCGTCCAGTTAAAAATAATGAAGTAGGTAAATGAATAGCAAGTGATATGGGAAGACATCCATGATGTATTATTAAGAGGAAAGAACAAATTACCCATTTTTATTAAAATACTATGTGTGCACTTGAGTATGGCTATTCAAAAGTAAATTAAAATTCAGTCCCTCAACCGTGAAACCGTATTTCAAGAGCTCAGCAGCCACATATGGCTCGTGGCTATCGGGTTAGACCAGTGGTCGGCAAACTCATTAGTCAATAGAGCCAACTATCAACAGTAAGTACAACGATTGAAATTTCTTTGGAGAGCCACATGTTTTAAACTTAAACTTATTCTGACGCCACTTCTTTCACATAGACTCTCCCAGGCCGTGGTATTTTGTGGGAGAGCCACACTCAAGGGGCCAAAGAGCTGCCTGTGGCTTGTGAGCTGCAGTTTGCTGACCACGGGGTTAGACACACAGACAGAGAACATCTCTGTCGTCTCAGGAAGCTCTGGCCAGAGCTTCCTACGTGATGACATGGCCAGAGGGAGACCTTCTGTTCTGTATGTGGTAGCTTTCTGTGACTGTTTTCATTTGTTATAAAAAGTCAGCACGTTTGCGGTTATCAGAAAAATAGAAGAACGTTCTATTTCTAAGAAAGCATTCTATTTCTTAAGTTGGTGGTAGCTTATCATCATTATTTGAGGTGTATGTGCTTGTGAGTGTATAACCTCCTTTTAAAGTATGTCTCCTCATCAAAATATTTAAAAATACACAGGGGGAGAAGGAGGCCTGCCTGGCGGGGCACACGTGGCAGGCCAGGCCTGAGGCTGGTGGACTTGCACCCGAGTCTGGCTCCCGGATCCAGCACTTCCCAGCTTGGCAACATCCCTCAGCTGGTTTGAGCCTCAGTTTCCTAATTTGACAGAATTCTGCTCCTCTACCTGCTTTACAGGATCAGAGTAAACTTTAGAAGTGTGATGATGTGTGGAAAAACTCCGAAACTGCCTGGCCTGTGTTGCTCAGGGGTAGAGCGTCTACCTATGAACCAGGAGGTCACGGTTCGATTCCCGGTCAGGGCACGTGGCCGGGTTACAGATTTGCAGGTTGATCCCCAGTAGGAGGCATGAGGGAGGCAGCCAATCAGTGATTCTCTCTCATCATTGATGTTTCTATTTCTTTCTCTCCCTCTCCCTTTCTCTCTGAAATCAATAAAAACATATTAAACAAACAAACAAACAAACCAAAACACCACGAAAAGAAAAACTCTGGAACTGAGGAACATGCTAGAGAGACTGGAGGAAGGATCAATCAATAACACGTGAGTTATCCAAGGCCTGAGGCAGGGAGGTCCCAATACAGCACTGTGACCACTCCTGGGGCCAGCGACCTTGCCTGCTCCCGGATACGTCCGAGGTCTTGCTGAGGTCGCCGTGAGCAGGAGGCAGTATTGCCAGAGTCCCACTAATGACCTTGCTTGGAGATTTAGAAATAGCTGTTTATTTTATTTATGGAACAAGCAGTGATGTGGCGCCGGCTGTTTGCCAAGCACAGTTCTAGGTGCTTTACAAATATGTTTTATTAGAATACAACCACTGTGAGCATGCTCATTTCATGCAGGAGGAGACAGGCTCAGAGAGGTCAAGTATAATACAATAACTTGCCCCAGGCCACATAGCTAGTGAGGAGTGGGTGTCAGACTTAGGCCATCCCTGCTTTCTCCTTTCATCTGCTCCTCTTGCCTCCATCAGAAGTGGTCAGAGGGTCCCTTAGTCCTGTTTCTCTATCTCAGGGGCGTGAGATTCCTATTTTGATAGGAAATCTCGAGACTTGAGTGTTCCTGACTAACCTGGTAGGCGTGATGCCGATGTCCTGGCTGAGCTTGGTGGCATGACTAGGGGGGAGTGGGCTGTAGCTTTAGGCAAATCTAGGCACCGGTCCGTGATCTTCCACTCATAAGCTGTGTGACTTCTGGCCGCTTGCTTCACGTCTCTGATCTCCCAGCGGGGTTTGGTGAAGGTGGAGTTTAGCTGCTGTGACTGCTTGTCGGTCGTCCTGTCGGGCAGGTGGCTGAGGCCCCCCTGTTGCTCTGCTTTCTTTCCTCCTTGCCTTAAGCAGCAGCATGCTTCAGAGACGAAGTCCCCATGCCTGCCTTTAAGGAGTTTATAGAATGGCCTAGGTGGGGCTGGAGATTGGGGGCTTGCGTTGGTGGCCTTGACAGGTTTCTCTGATTCCCTGTCAGTGGGGGCCTGGGTGGGCAGCACTCCGAGGCCCCATCTAGCTTCTGCTTTCTGACCTGTCACCTTTGGGCCTAGGACAAGCCTGTGCCGGCGGGCCAGCACCACAATGGGTGGGTGTGGGATGCATCAGCTCTTCCCTTTAGGCCATCTTGGGGTGGCGGCAGGAGGAAAGACAGCTTTGGGTGCCCTCTGCCTGCCAGGACCTGGGGGCGGCTGGTTCTGCAGGCGCAGCATGAGTCAGATGCAGCTTCTCCTGAGTTCCTCTGTGTGTGTGTGCGTGTGCATGTGTGTGTGTGTGTGTGTGTGTGTGTGTGTGTGTGTGTGGTGTAGGCTGTGGGAGCCTCAGGCATCGTCCCTTTTGGCTGAAAATTATGGAAAAGGGTCATCTGTGTGGAGGGGGCTGCCCATGCCTTGCTGGCTATGCACGTGGCTTGGCGTGGGAGGCCTGGGGGACACCAGCTGAGAAGTGAGGGAAGAGGGGTGGACAGGAGCCAGCCCCGTGACCCCCAGTGTCAGGCAGCTGGGAGGTGAACCATCCAACTTACCTCTCTACTTCCCCGTCCAGCTGCCACCGAGCGGGAGGCAGTTCCATCACCCCAAGTTTAAGATTCTCGTAAAGGGAGTTAATGTCCTGTAATGACACAGGGGAATTGCATTTAGCAGGCCCATGTAGAGAAGCGCCGGGAAATAAACCTCTTTTAATACTGAGCATGTTAACTCCCCAAGCCAGCCAGTGTTAGGCTCCGAAGGGGTGTCTGTGGTTTTCGGGCTTCTTTGCCTCATTCATTGATTGGTATAGATTTCTCCAAATTCCGGGAGCACTTGTGGGGTTACGAAGAACAGGCATACAGGATGACTCCCCCAGTATTCATTAATACATTTTCAACACTATCAACTCATTCCAAGAATGGGGTGGAGGGGCAGGAACTAATGCAGGCGGACCCAGGTGGTGGCCAGCAGGGCAGGACTGGGCAAGATGACCTGACATGCCCTGGAGCCAACTTATCGTGGTTCCTCCCTGGCCAGCTGCACCTGGGGTGGTGCCACAGCTCAAAGGGTGACTGCTGAGTGAGTGGAGTCCCTCCTGCCAGTGAGGTCCCTCGCCCTGGCCTGCAGGGACCAGGCTTCTGACATCCCCTGAGAGGACCCGGAGTGTGAGAGGGCACTTTGCAAAGTTGCTGTTGTACAGGGTGTGGCACACAGATGCAAGTGTGCAGTAAACCAGATTTGGGGCTGACAGTGGCCCAGCAACAACATAACCCATGGCTGAAGGTGGCATTGCATGCCCCATGAGGAAACGGGCTCCCTCCTCTCTGGTTCCGGGGTGGGTCACCTGAGAACCGCCACTGCCAAGTCACTGTGGCTCAGCAGCTCCTGCGTTGAGCATTTGCCCCCTAGTGGTCAGTGTGTGTCATATGTATTGGGGTCGGAGGGTCGGACTGTCACTTAGCCTTTTGTATATATATTTCAGACAGAGAAAGGGAGAGGGAGAGAGAGATAGAAACATTGAAGATGAGAGAGAATCATTGATTGGCCGCCTCCTGCACATAACCCACTGGGGATTGAGCCTGCAACCCCGGCATATGCCCTGACCAAGAATCAACTGTGACCACCTGGTTCATAGGTCGATACTCAACCACTGAGCCACGCCAGCTGAGCTAGAAATCACTTTTCTGTCAGGCTGGTCTCCAACGGGCCCCTTGGCACTGCCTTCGTACTGTGGGGTGGCCACATTGTTTAAACGAAGACCTGTTCAAACTTTTGGATGGCACCCTGGGTAGAGAAGTTATGGGGGGGGGGGCGCACGGAGTGGGGAGGGGTGGTCCTGGAGTTGTTTTGGGGATCATTTGGCTCGAAAGTCCCAGCTGACTGCCTCCAAAACATGGCCCAGGAGTTCTCAATAAACACTGCCCTCTCTTTGCAGGTGCCGGCTCAATTTGTGGTTTTAAGAAAACCCGAGAGCCTGAAGGCAGCCGCCCTGGGAGAAGCCCTTTCTGCGGGCAGCCGGAGCCTTCTGGTCCAGAGGAGAAGCTGTCCCTGCACCTGGACTTATGACCCGCGGCCTCGCCCCCAGCCTGCCCGCCGAGGTCCACAGGATGGGCTCCTTCCGCAGGCCCAGGCCGCGCTTCCTGAGCTCCCCGGTGCTCAGCGACCTGCCCCGCTTCCAGGCTGCTCGCCAGGCCCTGCAGCTGAGCTCCAACTCGGCCTGGAACAGGTAGGGGAGGCGCCACGGGTGGGGTAGGGCTGCCGGGGCCAGGCTTAGCTTCTGCTGCTTTGGCGATCTCTGCGTCAGAAGGTCATCGTTACAGGGCCATGGATGCCTTCCTAAAGGGGCTGTGTCCCAGCTGTCCTTGTTTCAGCAGAGGCGGCGTGGATCCCTGGGGCCTCCAGGCCTGCAGAGCCAGTTACCTAGCCCTGGACCGTGGGGTGGGGATTGACAGTGGCTGTGGATGCTCATTTGTCACATTCCCACTCAGAGGACCCATGGGTGGGACCATATACATAATCTCAAGTGTCACCTTCTACCCATTTGGGGAGGTAAGACGTGTATGTGAAAAGCTCAGAGATCATCACGTGACAAGTGAGCCGCAGGTGCTGGGAGCGGAGACAGGGGCTTTTTTATTTTTATTTATTTATTTATTTAAGTATATTTTATCGATTTTTTTTTTTTTTTTTGAGAGAGGGATAGAGAGTTAGAAACACCGATGAGAGAGAATCATCCATCAGCTGCCTCTTGTACACCCCCTACTGGGGATGTGCCCACAACCAAGGTACATGCCCTTGACTTGAATCAAACCTGGGATCTTTTAGTTCGCAGGCTGACGCTCTATCCACTGAGCCAAACCGATTTAGGCAACACTGGGCTTCTTTGTAAGGTGTCTCGCCAACCTTCTGCACAAGCAGAGCAGAGCATCCGTATCCTGTCTTGCGCTCCTGTGGCCGCTGTTTTCCCAATCTCTGCACTCACTCTCCCGATAAACGAAAGGCGGAGTTTCCTGGGAGTATCCCTGGCTGCCTTGGGGTCAGAAGTTTGGCTGGTGATGGACTTTCTCAGTGAACGCAACTCTCCTGATGGGGAGGGGGAGGGCTCTGAAATGTTTTGAGGTTAACTGGGTCCTTGTTCTTGAAAAAAGGCCCGGGACCCTTGCAATCCGCTCCTTGTGGGAATATCGGGGTCCCAGAGAAGGTGGAGTGGAGCCTTGATGGTGGCCCTTTAAGGAAAGGTGACCAGACGTCCCGCTTTGGGCGGGACAGTCCCGATCTTTAACCAAATATCGGGACTTTTTTAAAACGCTGCGGGACACAGGACAAGTGGTTAAAGATCGGGACGTCTGGTCACCTTACTTTAAGGGATTAACTTGGGGGAGGAGGGGCAGTGAGGCTGGCCCCTGTGAGATTCTTCCAAGAAAAGTGCTGTTAGAAAATAAATAAGACAAGGAATTGTCCTTTCCCACGGGCCCCAGGCTGCCCTCTGTGGACAGGGCCTCCTGGGAGAAGAGGCGCCGGGTCTAGGTCCCCGCTGTTTGCAGAAAGCTCCATCCGGTTCCTCCAGGCTCAGTGGGGCAGGCCGCCCCTGCCCTTTAGGAGCAGGGCTGCCAGGGAGGGGGGAGGAAGGCTGCCGTCCTGGAGAAAGTGGGGGGAGAGGGCTGCCTTGGGGGGTCCTCTTGACTTCAGTCTTCCTTCCTCTCCAAGAACCCTGGAAGGAAAGGGATGGGACCGGGGATGCAAACGTGGCTGTGGTTATGCTGCATTTTTGTTTGTTTGTTTGTGGTTTTGTGTGTGTGTTTTTGTTGTTGTTGTTTGTTGTTGTTGTTGTTGTTTTTTGCCTTCCAGCCCCCTTCAGCTCTGAGCTGTTTGCTGACGTGGCTGTGGGGAGGCAGATCCTCTAATCAGGACTTGCTTGTATTTCTGTCCCTGCAGCGTGCAGACCGCCGTGATCAACGTCTTCAAAGGTGGAGGCCTGCAGAGCAACGAGCTCTATGCACTGAATGAAAACATCAGGTACATGAAGGCCAGGCCAGAGGACAGAGGGCGCTACCCCACCGGGGGGCCTTGCCTTAAGCTTTGTTTTCTGGTGGATTCTTTGGTGTGTGTGTGGTTTTTTTTTTGTTTTGTTTTGTTTTTTTTAATAAATCTTTATTGTTCAGATTTTCCTTTTCCCCCCCTCCTCCCATAGATCCCCTTCACCTGGTCCCCACTCTGCCCTCTGCCCTTACCTCCCACCCCCCATCCCCCTGTCCTCATCCATAGGTATATGATTTTTTGTCCAGTCTCTTCCCATACCCCCCCACACAGACACCCCTTTCCCTCTGAGAATTATCAATCCCCTCCCATTCTATGCTCCTGATTCTATTCTATTCACCAGTTTATTCTGTTCCTCAGATTTTTAATTCACTTGACTTTTAGATTCACTTGTTAATAGATATGTATTTGTTGTTCATAATTTTTATCTTTACTTTTTTCTTTTCCCCCCTCTTTTTAAAGAACACCTTTTAGCATTTCATATAATACTGGTTTGGTGGTGATGTACTCCTTTAGCTTTTTCTGATCTGTGAAGCTTTTTTAGCTGCCCTTCAATTCTGAATGATAGCTTTGCTGGGTACAGTAATCTTGGTTGTAGGTTCTTGCTGTTCATCACTTTGAATATTTTTTGCCACTCCTGTCTGGCCTGAATAGTTTTGCTGCTGGATTCTTATTGCTGCTTCTGTGGGCTTTGTGTGTGCCTCTTATGGCTGTTAAGTTCTGAGACCCTTGTTGGTCTAGATTTCTATTCTAGAGGGGGTCCATCCATTTGTGTTCATGGATGTTGTATGTGTGTGTGTGGGGGGGTTAGAGGGCTGATGGATGGTAAACAGTGTTATTTGTTGTTGACAGGCGACATTTATTCTTTATTGTTCTCCCCATGTGTGAACTCACTTCATAACTGCTATTTTGCGGTGGCATATCAGAATACACGCTGCTGGCTGAAACTGGTTTGGCTCAGTGGATAGAGTCAGTCAGCCTGCGGACTGAAGGGTCCCTGGTTTGATTCTGGTCAAAGGCACGTACCTTGATTGAGGGCACGTCCTCAGTAGGGGGTATGCAAGAGGCAGCTGATCGATGATTCTCTCTCATCGATGTTTCTAACTCTCTGTCCCTCTCTCTTCCTCTCTGTAAAAAAATCGATAAAATATATTAAAAAAAAGAATACACACTGCAGTAAGGAACAAAAATCTGACAAATTGGACTTTAGCAAGGAAGGAATTTAGTTGTCTCATTGTCTAGGGTGGCCAGTCCGGCCAGCTGCACTTGCCCTTCAACTCTGCCATCGGAATCTTGGGGCCTCTGTGCCTAGGGCACCTGTAGGCATCACTTCTTCATTCAAAAAGAAATTAAAGGCCAAAGTGCCATACAAGTCCAGTTTTCCCAAAGCCCTTCAGGCAGGACTGGGTCCCTTAATTGCAAGGGAATACTTTTTACTGGGCACAGTACCCTCCACAAAAGGAGCCAGCATGAACACCTGTCACCATCTTCCTCCTGGGGGCTGATGCCACTGGCTCGTCACCACCTAAGACTGGGGTGTGTGAGTCCCTCTAGTTCTTAACATCGTTATCAGTTACTGTCATTCCTGGTAGATTTTAGGGATACAAACCTCAATAAGACATGGTCCTTGTGGAGTTTATTGTCTTCCAGAATCTTCCCAGTAGAGTAATGCCAGCTTTCATTCATTTTTTCATTCATTCATTTTTTCATCTACCCATTCATACATTCATCAAATACTTGAGTCCCAATAGAATAGTGTCAGCTTTCATTCATTCATTCATTCATCTACCCATTCATACATTCATCAAATATTTGAGTCCCTATAGAGTAGTGTCAGCTTTCTTTCATTCATTCATTCATTCATTCATTCATTCATCTACTCATTCATACACTCATCCAATACTTGAGTGCCACCCTATTGGCCAGAGACTAGAGAGACAACAATGAGCCAAGACAGACATGGACTTTGCTCTCCTGGAATTTATATTCAGTCAGGGAGATAATCATTAGTCAGCCAGTCACACTTGTAAAATGTAGAAGTGCAACTGTGACAGCTGGTACCACACAACAGAGCGAGGAAAGCATATGTCCCCTTAACCCTGTTGGCAAACTGCAGCTCTCGAGCCACATGCGGCTCTTTGGCCCCTTAAGTGTGGCTCTTTCACGCCCTGGGTGAATTTATTATGAAGAAGTGGCATTAGAAGAAGTTTAAGTCTAAAAAATTTGGCTCTCAAAAGAAATTTCAATTGCTGTCCTGTTGATATTTGGCTCTGTTGACTAATGTGTTTGCCGACCACTGCCTTAACCCAATCCTGCCAAGGAGGCCTGAATGGTGCTGGGATGCTGGTGCTGGGAGCTGAGGCACCAGTGGGAATTAATTGGGTTAAGAGGGCTCCAGACGGTGGGAACTGCAGGTGCAAAGGTCCTGTGGTAGCAGTGAGCAAGGACCTGGGTGGAGAGCCCTGTGCGTGGAGCACCGGAGGTCGGGTGGTGATGGGAAATGAGGACAGCGAGGTGGGCAGGCCCCAGAGCACCGGGGTCTCCTGGGGACAGGAGGTTCCATATCAGATCTCTTCATGTCCTGGTGTCCATTCCTCTCTGCTGGGTTAAGTACTAGACACCAAGGCAGAAAATCCTGCCATGGAGTGGGCAGAACAACAAACACGGCCATTATTCAGGTCCTGTTGACATGTAAGTCAAGATCTGTGTTAAGGGTCAACGAGGTGTTTGAAGAGCCCTGCTTCCATGAAAACCTTCCCAGCTCAGAAGTAAACAGGCTTGTGTTACATTTCTACCCAGGAGCTTGAATTTCACATAATAATTACACAAATATGGAGAGAGTCCACAGATAGCATCTAGCCCAGGGCCTCCTCCCGAAGAGGAGGAAACCCAGGCCCCAGGACGGAGGCAAAGCTGGGTCAGCCAAGCCCAAGGTGTGGTAGCAGCTCAGTGTGACTCTGAGAACTCAGGCCCTGGCCTCTCCCGGGGGTTCCGCAGCTCACAATCAGAGAGTAAATAAAGACGGTGACTCAGGAATGAGCTGATTGTTCCTCGCCTCGGGAGACCGATCCTGAAATTGTATCTGAGACCTTTGTTTGTGGGCAGCCAGGAAAAGTAGAGGCCTGGCCAGATTGCACCAGCTCGGGCTGCTAACTCAGAAGCCTCCCGGTGCCAAGCCGGCCTTGGACATGGGAGAGCTCACCCCCTTGCAAAACGGATTACCCCGGCAGAACACAGGTCCGGAGACTTATCATCTTATTTCTCAAGAAGAACAGGAAATGGGGATTTTTATGTGAAATTTCCTGGCTTTTTACATGAATCCACATTTCCTCAAACAAAACACATCTGTGGGCTGAATTTGACCAACGGGCTACCTGTTTATAAGGTCAGCTGTGGCCTGCATGGGACAGGCATCGCTGACAGGGTGTGTTGCATCCCAGAGTCTAGCCCCAAGGCCACTTGCGGGGGAAGAAGGGAGCCTGAAAAAGCCAGGCATCTTTCACATCCATCAACACAGTTACCACCCTCACTGCCCTGTGAGGCAACCACTGGCATCAGTCATTTACCCACAGAATTGTGGGTAAAACCAAATACCTGGTCTAAGGTCCTGTCTGACTTAGATGCCTGTATTAGTTTGCTCAGGCTGCTATCACAAATGCCATGGATTGGGTGGCTTAAACAGTAGACATTTCTCACTGTTTCGGAAGTGGGAAGATTTCTCTAGTGGTCTGGATGAGGGGAGCCACTTGGAACTAGAGGGATCCTGAACTAGGGGCTCCTCCAAGGCTGTGCTGGATTTGACATTTGTATGAGGCTCGGTTCCTGCCAGGAGAGCCAGCTGTGTCTCCTTTCCACAGAGGAAATGACCCCCTCAGTTCTCCATTCTAATCGGGCCAGACAGCAGTAAATCTTGTTGGATGTATTTACAAGCTCAGTGTTAAAGCCTCCATCCACCAGCTTCCCTGGGTCACCCCAGCTGGCCTGACTGGACTGTCTTTCTAACTGTGGAGTGTGCATACCCCCTGGGAAATCTGCATTCCTTTAAATACAGGGCGGACCAAAAGTAGGCTTACAGTTGTGATTATGCAAAATAGAGTCTATTCCCATAGTAGAATAGATTGTGTATTAATGATTGTATTATTTGCCATACAAACAATTGCAAACCTACAAAATACAACTATATTAGCCAATGTGAAGTTTTGCATCATGGGGTCCTGAAGGGCAGTTGTTAAACACAATTGGTCCTTTTTTCCTAAGACACGTCATCAGAAATGAACTCGCTGCCCTATGAGGAAGAACTTGGGACCAGGGATGGTCATGTTCTACATCACGTTATGAGCTCAAGAGAAGGGTGTGGAGACCCTGCAAGAACAAATTCATTGGGAATGGCCCCCCTCAATAAAGTGGCAAATTTCCTCCAGATAAAAGTCAGGGCACATGCTCTGTTGGTAGGAAGGACATACTCCGAATATTTTCTATTGAAACTGCCTTAGGAATAGGATGCACTCATGTTATATCCCTCAAGGCAAGGAAAAAGTGACCTTTCAGAATAGATACAGTCGCCCTGGCTGGTTTGGTTCAGTGGATAGAGCATTGGCCTGCAGACTGAGGGGTTCCGGGTTCGATTCTGGCACATGCCCAGGTTGTGGGCTCAATCACTGGTAGGGAGCGTACAGGAGGCAGCTGATCAATGATTCTCTCTCATCATCGATGTCTCTCTCTCTCTCTCTCCCCTTCTCACCCCTCTCTTTCCCTCTCTCCTCGCTTTTTCCCTCTCCCTTCCTCTCTGAAATCAATAAAATATATTTAAAAGAAAAAGAACAGATACAGTCTAGTCATCATGACCTATCCTCTGCCTGCCTTGAATTTCCGTCTGCTTTGGCCTGGGCGGACCCTGCGTGTCTTCTTGGCTTAAGTTCTCTGTGGGACATGGTTGGGGTGTTTCATGGCCCTCTCCAGCCTGCAGTGGCTGCATTTGG